TATTGGTATTGTTCATTACAGGAATAGCTTGACAGTTTGGAAAATGTCCTTTGTCACTTTTTTTTGTTCTGTGTGGTAATTATATGAAGCAACCGCTGGCCAACCAGTTAGCTTAGCTTAGCATCAAGACTGGAAACAGAGGGACACAGCAAGCTTGGCTCTCCAAAGGCAACAAATTCCTTATAATAAAAATAGTGCAGGACATAACTCCCTGTAAAAAGGTGGTGTTGGTATTTTGTTACCTAGGCTAGTTTTCAACCCCCATTTGCCCCGTTTCCATTCTTAAGCTAAGCTAAGCTAAGCTAACTGTCTCCTTGCTGTAGCTTCATATTTAGCAAGAGCGGTATCATTCCACTCGTCTAACTCTCTGCAAGAGAGCAAATACTTCTGAAAATGATTAATAATTACTTATTGTTGGATATAATCATCAAATTATATTAGTAACACATGATTTCCACATGGAAGGAAGGAGTTTCCACTAGACTGTCATAGCTTTACTCTTCATTCTTGAACAGATGACTAAAACCTTTTAGGGCCTGCCATTACTTAAAACACCCATCACAAGTTCCCATAGTCGATATATTTATAAGTCTTGTTTTATTCCAATAAAAGTCCAAAACTCAAATATATTTCATTGACTATCACATTCAGATTTGAGAGACTGGAGTGATTTTTTTGTCATTTTTGCTTTAATCTACTTAAACACTTAATAAACCATCAAAATAGTTGCTGATTAATTCTCTGCTGATCAACTAATAGATTAATCATTTCAGCTCTAATGCATTTCCCTTATAAGCTACACATGAAGCACATCTCCAGGGCGACATTAGGCCGATGAAACATGCAGATGCAGAGAGAAACAGATGTCTGAGCTCTGTTTCACTGCTGTCTAGCCATTCAGCACTAACCACTTACTTTAAGCCAGCCTCCCAGGGCGAAGTATACAGTGAGAGAACAGCCTCAGCTCGCCCCAAGTGACTGTCTGATGTCCACCCACACACTCCCCTACAGCCACAACACAGACCGTACCCTAAGCACAACAACTTCCCCTTCTTACCAACTAATCCCCCTCAGAACTAAGGTCCTGGATCCAAAGAAACCACACGTACAATACAGTATGTTGATTCAGGTTTTCACAAAAGCCACTTGAGGTTAGGTTTCATGCCTGCTGTGATAAATGTCATATGCAATAAGTGCATAAAGTCAGAAGTCCATTAAATATGTGGAAATAATTTAAAAATGCAGAGTAGACGGGCACAGACCAAGATGTGCACTCGTGATTCTGCACACAGATACTGCCATGTGTGCACCATTAAAAAAGCTCACACAGACAAAACATCAGTGCTGCAGTCTGATAGCAGTTGTTATTTTAGCACGCACACACGCTCAGTCCAAAGAGAATAGAAGAATTGTAGGAAAGGCCTTTCCCATTCAACTTTTCCCACGGTCAGATAGAGAGAAGAGTGTTGATTGACACCGTGGGGTTATCATGACACTTACACAGGAAATATGGTCAAGGGAACCTAACAGGACCCCGTAAACAAACATTTTTGCACATTGTTTTTTGGGGGGGCTTCTGTACACGCAAACACAAAACACATTTTATTAGGAGCCTCAATCGTGACATCGGACATCTTCATTCAGGCTGGAAAAGTGCAGGAAAATTTTAAAAGGTGAATTCTATTCATCCACGTTTTAATAACGTCTAACTCCCAAAGCAGCCATTCACCCAGCCCACATTAATCCCCTGACTGACGCATCATAGAGCTGCTATAAAGAAGAGAAAATACAAGAAAGCCAAGTGTTAAAATTCATGGCCTCCCTCCAGCCGTTCAGTGAACTGTTTCCCAGCCAGTTTCTGCTTCTGTGTTCTTTCCACTTCTCATTCCAGCTATACAATGATTCTAAAAATAGACACATGAGTAATAAAAAACACTTAGGATTTCGAGCCTGTTGCTGATTTTCATCCATTTTGAGGCCAGGCCCTGTCTGCTCTGTGGCATGTAAACTGAGCAGAGAAGCGCCAACTCTGATTAGTGAGCGCAGTAAACATGGACTAATGAATTCCATGCTACAGCTGAGTCCCACAAATAACACTCAGTGGCACAGTTTATAGTGTCACTCAGAGGTCTAGGGAAGAAATATGGATCCTATGTGCAGGTAATGATCCCAATGTTGCACCTTTATTCCACCAGTAATGTCCCTTACTGAGCTTTTGGACATGTCTCATCTACATCCTGTCTCAGTTTCATCAGAGGTGGCTTGTGGGAGCATTAGTTCTTTATTTCTTAATCCTACAGAGTATCATGGCATCTGCTGGGCCCCGCCCTCTCTGTTGTTCTCAGATTGGTTCACTGGTCCAGAACAAATTAAAGCTCCAACTTTGAACATATGTTGCATGCATACTGTACACGCAGGCGTGAGAACCCATGACGATAATGTGCACATTTGTTGGCATGCAAAAAAAAAACACCTCAGAGCTACAAAGCACAGCTCGTCACTGAATGCATTTACAAGCACTGTGCTGAAAGGTCACCAGTATTGGCTTTGTAACTATCATCCATAGTCTTACGCTTTTTGACATCAGAATTTTAGGCTAAAATCTTTAAATAAAAACTACACATTGACAATAAGATATGTCTCTTGTATTGTCCCATATCCGGGAGAAAAAAGACTGGAATTTTGAACTATTCAAAAAGTCATTGTTGCTTTGATGCATATGTTGCAACAGAAGAGCAAACACCCAGGGACACACAAAGTGTCTGAGCTGTGATAGCAGCATATCAAGGTGTGCATGTGAACAATGTTAAGTGATGTGTGCAAGTCAGCGGGAGGGAGCGAGGGTGTGAGCAAGCGAACAAGAGCTCTTGATTAGTTGAACATTTATGGTAAGTTATTTTAATAATTCACAAACTGCACAGAGCTGCACACAATCTGCCTGAGCTTGTGGCGTATGTTTCCAGTTTGATCACAGACAGCATGCCTCTGTGCTCTCAGACATCCTGTCACATGATTCAGTGAACGATATCTCTCAGACCAGCCTCATCCATGGGCGGTGCATGCGTAGCACATGCAATGTAATTTTTTTCTTTTTTGGGGAGCAGGGGTGCATATATGACAACGGGCAAGTCCTCATGAAATTACAATGAAGACATGGGAGTCAAGCACACTCAAATCTGCTAAACAAGAGGACTTCACCCCCTCACGAATCCCCCAGTATACTCAGTCAAGTTAATAACAATTTGATTTTAATGTCGCTTGCATATCGGAAGAAAATCTGGCCTGATGGTGGCGCTAGAGGAGCGGTCAGAGTCTCGTTAAAAACTCTGGAGTTCTTCCTCTGAGGACCATGAATGTACAGAGCAAGTTTTACTACAGTCCAAAAATAATATAGCCAATGGAGATGTATACGATTGAAGAGGAGATTAAAAGTATGACGATGTCTTAATGTTATTGTGAAGACAACTGCAGCACACCAACACAATAATAGTTACACCTCAAGGAAGAGACCCTCTTTTTTTATTCTCACATATTCACTCTCACATACAGTATATTCAGACTGTTCAGACGTGGGGGGGGGGGTGAAGTTCAGATGAGGGTCTCTCCTGGCCCTGCTAATCTCTTACAGTTTAACTGACAAACTGTTATCAGACTATAGCCATTTGTTTACACTACACTGCCTTCAAGGCCTCCAGCCCACAAGGCGGTTTGGATTATCTGCTCAGAAGCATCCTGCATGTTAGTGTGTGTGTGTGTGTGTGTGTTTCAGCCACTATCTTATAATAAAGCCGCAGCCACCATGTGAGCAGTAATCCAGGGTCGAAATGCAGCTGCACAGGTTCATTTCATTCAGCTTTATCACAAAATCACACTGTCAGGACTGTGGTGCTACATACATTTACCATTCAGTATATACAGTACCTCACTACAGCTTGGCTACGGCATCTTACATTACATGACACACACCTATAGTAATAATATACCCTAGGTAAGAATGATCTTTTTATAAATTTCAACTACTAACACTCATCTGTAGAGCTGAAACAATTAGTCCATTAGTGGATGGATGAAAACAGGATCTCTTTGGGTCAGGACTGATGGCCGGACTAAAATATGGAATATGAAGACGCCCCCTTGGGCTCTGGGAAGTTGAAATAAGCATTTTTTATGAATGTTCTGACATTTCATAATTCCTGGTACAATTTTTTGTTAACCTTCAAACAAATCCATAAAGAAGTGATTATAAGTTGCAGCCATATTCCTCTTTTTTATACTTATTAGTGTGTTTAACTTAAGTAATGTGATTGTATGTGATATTTCTCCACCCCTACAATATTTCATATCACAATAAGAACTGGTAACACTACATTCCTCAAATATCAATACATGGATTTATTTATTTTGTTATGCTTTGGTCAAAAGGATGCAGATCCTGCTTGGTCTGTCCTCCATATGGAATCCTGCCAGTCAGATATCTTATCAATTTCCACCAGTTTACAGGCTTCAAACAGAGCGACAAGATAGTGAGAACAACTTCAAAGCCTTAAAGCAAGACATCAAACAGATGGAAAAGGTGACTGCATGAACAGAAAAAAAAATGTAAAAATTCCTGTGCTTTGTTGTTGTTTTTTTCCTTTTTTACCAGCGTTTCTAAACATGTTTCTATGAAGGAACAGAATGCTTCTGCCTCACCTGCGAGTAAGAGGAGCGTGCAAAGCAAGCTGTATTTCTGTGAAATGCTCCTTTAGTAACAGGTGTTAAATCATGACACCCGTTGTTTGTTTTGTTTTTTTGTTGGGTTTTTTTTTTTTTTTTTTTCGGTCGTCTCTGCAAAAACCACAACATCTTTGATCTGATATAGCTCCATCACATCCGACTCACACACATCCATACATGCCGTCCATCCATCCCTGCACACGGGCTGAGAGGGAAAGGAAACCAATGTGTGGACATTAAGGGGGGGAAAAAAAAAAAAAAAAAAAAAAAAAAAACAGCCTTACCGTGATTGTCTTCATCCATATTTATCGCAGCAGTGACAGGGCCGTCCAGGAGAAGGTGTGTCCGGCGGGAACCTCGCGGAAGATGGATTTAGCCGAGTGGTTTTTAACGGGGTTTCTCTCCTTTCACTGACAAGACAGTCGAAGCCGGTGCTGTGTTGACAGACAGATGGGTGAAGTGGACTGGTGCGCAGATGTCAGCGGCGAAATGTACAGAAAAAAAAGGAAAACATTTCAAAATAAAAAAAGCAGAAGTCGTGGTCTGGGTGTAAATGAGAGCGGGGTTGTTATGTGAAGATGGGATATTTCAGAGGTGTGTGACCGCGGTGTGAGACGGCGGCGGCGTTTCTCCGTCTCTGCTCCATCCTCAGCTGCTCCGTCTGCATTCACATTAGCTACACTGCAACCACAGCGACGTCATTAAGCCCCGCCCCTGCATCCCCACCCCCCCCCCCCCCCCCCCCCCCCCCCCCCCCCCCCACCACACACCACACCACACAACCACACACACACACACACACACACACACACACACACACAAAATACCAATTCACTACAGGTGTTCAGTGTAGCTTTTGTTGTTGAACAGTCGAAGCAATTATCACAGATCTCACTAAAGCATAAATAAACTATTAAATTCAAATTGTTTGATTCTTACCTGCAGGGACCAGAGGAGAGATTGAACATGTTCTCTAAAGGTGGCAAACATACAGGGTTTCTTATTTCCTTGTTTTTACAATAATCTCTATTTCTTAGCATGCATTTATTTTCTCACACACTTACTGTAATTGCCAATTTATGAGCAGACAGTCACATCTGAATGAGGTGCAGGTTAGATGATAACACTGGTTGAAAATAGATTTCCACTTAGTGTCTCCAAAACGTATTTGTAAGTTATAAATAAAGGTGAGTGTTAATTATTACCCGGCTCATTTCACAAAGCAGCTTCGTGCATTCGTTCACCTTCATTTTCTATCTGATGCAGATAAGTGGCTTAAACTGGAGGGTTTATTTACAGCTTGTTCAACCTCTAGCAATTCTACCATGTTTCCAGATATGATTTAAATGTTATTAATTATTATTAATATTACTACTGGTAGCAATAATGAGATATTCTTATAAAATGCTTTTAAAAAAAAAACATTTAACCTTTTCATCAGATGTTTAAAATGATTATTATTTTGATTATTACATAAGATGTTGTGGATCAATGATGTCCATCTTAATTTGAACATCTACAATTCAGTGACCTCTGGGCAACTACTGTATTTCTGCTGAGGAAGATCATGTGATATGATCGAAAGAAATAGCTACTAATGGACTTTGTGATGAGATTATAAGTAGAAGTTTCACAAAGCTTATAGCACATACCCGCAATTGATATACATGTTAAAATGTTATGTAGCATCTTGAATTTAGATATTTTTTTATTATTTTAAGGGGATCACACTATAGTATTCCTTTAAAAGACAAGATTTATCACTTTCTTGAAGGTCTCAACACTTAATCTTTTATGGCAGAAAAGCATTGTTGACCTCTACAGGTTGAACCTCTGACCTTGCCTGAACGGTGCAGCAAGATGCCACCACCAGTTTGTGAAGTTTCTGTTGGAGTAGCCACAGTGAAACAGAAACAGCTTTTTACTGTTTCTCAAACATGAATGTACGACACCCCTCGCCAGTCAGATTCAAACACAGACAGCAATAAATGAACAACTCCCCATTTTATAGTCTTTTTTTTTTAAGTAGTCAGTGATTTATGACTTAAAATGAAGCCTAACTACACATACACTGTGGAGCCAAGAGTCAGTGTAGATTACTTCTGACCACCCCCACACCCACACACCCCCACACACACACAAACTCAACCACAGACAGACAGACAGACTTAGCTGAATTACTCCTTAAAGCTACTTAGTCCATGTATGCGCAGTCTACTTAAATCGTTCAGAAATAGTTAAAATCTTTATCAATTATGATCCATACTTTTGATGAACTGCTCCACAAAGCCCTCCTGAACAGTCTTATATGTCAGTTAGCCACTAAATAGCTGCCTTAAAAAGTGATTCTGACCTCATTCATCCGCCCCACATCCGTCATTGGTGATGCAGGCATGATGACACCTTCAAAAGCTCATGGCTGAAAGAGTCCAGCTTGGATACTTCCTGCCTGTCCCCGCCCATGTGAGGAAGATCCCAGCCACGCCAAGAGTGATGTACTGACGAGGGGAATATGAAGGCCGGACCCAGCGTGCAGTCCAAAGTTCAGGAAGGGAGTTGTGCTGAGGACTCATTGTGCAGCACTACAGGGGGACAATGGGAGAGAGTTACAGAAAAGGAAGTGATGTGATCAGCCTGCCCTCCTCCACCCTCACATTGTTATGAAATCTGATCTGTGTCACTTTAAATTGACTTTTGAGGGTTTATTAACAAGCTGTAATGTTGGAAAATGTTGCCTAAACTAGATTGGCTAATAAAGTATGAATGCAGGAATGATCAGATTAAACAGTTTAAACAGGGGCCAAGGGCCAAACACTGGCATTTGGTCCCCTATTGACCCCTACAACTCCCACACTCTGTAATTGTGTGTGTACTGCATGCATTAAAAATAGCCATTTATCTGGTCTACAGTCTTCAGTCTGTTGAGCTCAATGCTTTCCCATTTACATTTCAGCAAAGACTCACATTTGATTTAATTGCAACATGATGCTGATAATGCAATGACCTGTTCTTGTATTTCTAACATTAATGTATCTGACTTAGAAGCTACGATTTCTGTTTGACAGGTTGTGCACACACAAAGAGTGGAGGCAGCATCATCAGCTACAGCATCATGGCCAACTTAGCTCAGTTTTTTCCTTTACTCAAAGTTTGGACAGTATGTTCAGATTTTGGTTTGAAACAGATGTTTTTTTTTTTTTTTTCTTCATACGTTTTTACTTCTACTAATATATAATATGCTACAAATTCACTATGAAACCAGTCTCACTGTTACTGTGAGTTATAGTGAGGGTTTTGAATTTCCCCTTTCTTCATACGAAGCTTTACCTGTTATGCAATAAATATGGAAAATTGTACACTACTCCCACCCTTAGTTTCCATTCTGTGATACAATCACAGTCCACTTCTCCTGCTTTGAAAGTCCACCTGCTGGCAGTACAGCCAGACGGACATAACTGATGCATGTATCAGTTGTTTCATACAGCAGGAATTACCTCAGTGTGACTGGAAATAATAAAACACTTTCTTGAGACTTTACAAAACTTTAAACACATTTCCAATCAGTGCAAATACGCTCATAACATAACAGCCATTGAAATACACATACTGAACTCATTAAGTGTAGGACCGAGTCATACACAGACCAGCCACAACAACAGCCCATATACAGTATTTACATAAATTTGTATATATAATTGATTATTAAGGGTGTTCTTGATTAACTTTAGTATAAACACAAAGCTTTCACATGCATACAACAGTACACAATGTGTTCTGTGCACTTCAATTTGCTGGTGAAATGATCCAATGGTGAAAGCTCAGAGTTGCCATGGTTTAATTACTTTGAAATATTGATTAGTTCAGTGTCAATCTCATGATCTGATCATGTTACTGAACCAAACGCTTCTCTCTCCAGGGACATGAGCATTTCCTGCATAATCTAAAAAATGTTTCTCACTTACATGTTCTAACTCCGAATGGATGACAGCACATTGTCAAAACAACTTTCCTCTCTTTCCTAAAAATAGAAAATTAATGGTTTCACTTGTTTTTCCCCTCAAAAGGCTCCAGGCATAAACAAATACTGGCTCTACAGCATTGGTAGTTGCAATTAATTTGCAGCAAGTTCCCATAAATTCCTCCTCACACCCCCTCAGAGGCCTGCCTGCGGCCAAGAACCAAACATAGTTGGTTTCATACAGTATGATTCTTCAGAGAAACGCGACAGAAAAGTTTATTGGACACATGACATATTCATCAGCATCTCTCTTTTTCTCTATTTTTTTCTGCCTGCACTTCTCCTTGACATGTAAATATAGAGTTTTGGGAGGTGAAGGCCGTTTGGGAATAGTCCTGTGTTAAGTGCAGATGTCCGGACCAGTACAGGAAGAGGCTCCATTTCCAGTTTCAGTGGAACCAAGTGGGATGGAGTCCATCAAGAGTTCTCTTCATCATACAATTCAATTATTTCCCTCTAATCAGTGAAACGCTATTGTTAGTTCATCTGTTGTTCACAATGTGAGCATGTGCTTCACAGGATTGAGAACACTTGAAAATGAAGCATTTGTCTTCCAAATGAAGGCAGACATATGCCAGAAAATATCTTGTGAGTCAAACTGAAGATCGCTCATCTCATTTCATGGGAATCTAAAATAGAAAAGATCAGGAAAAAGTAAGGGTCAGCCTCTGTTTGGCTCAGCTTCACTGATTAATTTTTGAACCATAAACTTGACCTTAGTCTGACATCATCTTTGCCTGCACTGAAATGTAGTTATATTTACTTTCTCCATTTACAAGCCAGCAGAAAATACTGCATGAATGCGCTCCATATTTCTTTAAGGCAGCATGTGTCAGCCACATTACAGCTTCTCATATAAAGGGCGAGGAAGTGGATGGACGGACCTCGAGCCCTGTGAGTGGCCGCTCGGCACATACACTCTGTATATAAACATGCAAGAGCTTTGGATATGGCTGATATATCAATTTGCTGTTATTTCTTTGTTAAGAAAAATCAAGTGGATAATCAAGTGAAGATGTGATTTTACACAACAGTTTTCACAGTCACAGTCTCAAAACATGCTTTAGTTTATCATGCCCCATCACAGTTTGACAGTGTTTAACAAAAAACAGACAATTGAAATGTACCTTGAACTATTTTGTTCTTTGGTGGGGTATGTTTAATAGCCCCCCTGCAAGTGGCAAAATGGAGACAATAATCTACCATGGTGAGATATTGTCATTTCAATGCTAATTTCTCCGCTAGCTACTGTCAGTAGATTCCGTAAACCCGAGTGGAATGCAGCCACAAGACATGTAGTTTCACAATGAAGATTAACTTTTATCTTCACATGACAGTCTACAGCGGTGCCAGTAGCTAAATGCTAAGGTGCTAAATGCTAATGCTATACTGATGTTAAGCAGGTATAATCACGTTCGCTAGCTTTGTTGAGCATGTTAGCATGCTAACATTTTCTAGTAAATCACTCGACAGAAAGTACAGCCGAGGCTAATGGGAATAAGATAAGATAAAATAAAAAGACGGGGGATTTTTATTTTTTATTTTTATGGCAGTCTACCCAACAGCTTCAGACATATTTCACTCTGACTCATAGAAGTCAACCTTATGTTGGCGTGAGATGAAAAGTCACCAAATATCACCAAAGCTACAGGATTCATTGTTTGGGAGACATGAATGTCTGCAAAAAGTTTCGTGACATCAGTACAATAGTTGTGCCATTTTGTCACATCACACAGTGGCAGTCTGTTTACTCTGCCCCAAGGGAAAATACTCCGTCAGTGCTTGCTTTAAAAGACAACAACAAAAAAAACAGGTGGGCGACAGCCTTATCTTACCTGGGAAAAGCATCATGCCGTTACTGTCACACTTAAGTAATACCACACAGGAGGGAGTGATGTACTGAATATCAGAAGGAGTGATTCGGTCATTGGTACGAGGCCGCACAATCATGTTGGTATTCAATACATCACTCCCTCTCGTGTGATGTTGCTTTTACACAACAGTTTTAGGAGCGCCATATTAGTTAAGTAAGCAACAAAAGTTTATGATTTGTTTGTTTATTTCATCATTTATTTGGCAACGCCAACACAAATAGTTCCGCAACTGGACTGGTACCGGACTGTTGGTAAGGAACACACACATTTTCCTCACATGCACAGTGCACATTAGCTAGCTACTTTGTCTACACGTTACCTCAGTTGTGCCCTGAAGTATCCGGGCCTCTTCCCTTCATCCTCTTCTAACGACCACACATCATTTAATTCAAATGTTATTTCTGGAAATATATTCATTTTTTAGATAGATAACGACCGTTAATGGAACACCTGTGAAGCGGAATGATACATGTAGTTAAAAGTCCCAGCGCTCATGGAATTCCTCTCGTCCAATCAAATCACTTGGTCGGAACTAACTGTTGTATAATCGAGTTTAATCGCGCCCACAGCTGGCGCATGCAACAAGTTCTACTCTCTGGTGGTTGTAGACGGGCTTTCTGGGAAATGTAGGAGTTCAAAAACCTTTAGGGGGAGAAATGACGGAAATATGTCAAATACACACACACACACACGCACTCTTCTCAGATGTCTTTCTGTTGCCAGTCTCATATAATTGTGGAAGATTTCAGCACGTTATCTCATCAGTGATGAGGCTTTTTTTTCTGGCTCGTCCAAAATGTCATGATCCGAACTTTTGCTGCACTGAAGTAGATGACCCTGTACTGTGTGGAACTGGATTCATCCAGTACGCGTATAAGCAAGTAACCTGCTTCATGACCCATGCTGTTATAATGAGGTAGCCTACATGTTGAGCCATACGACATCAGAGTTTTTGTATGAAAGATTCTGATTTATTTTGAACGAGACCCAGTGATTATTCAATGTCTACTCAGCCCTGCCATTTGTCTGTTTGACACATAGTGAAATATTGGTTCCTTGAACGAGAGCTTCATGTTAAAGCAATAAAATAACATGCTGTGTTTATCAATGAGCTGAGTCAGCCGCACTTGATTTATCACCACTTCTGGTAATGATTTGATACAACAAATTTAAGGTTTCCTTTGAAATTCAAATAAAGTTTATTGTTGTATCTTTTCTGTTTGAGCCTGGAGAGTGTCTGAGGAATTCCTGAGAACCATCTGCAATAGTCCCACACACATTCCTGCTAATGCAAACACAGAAGGAAAGTGACACACTTCCTTTCTCACAGTGGTCAAGAGAGTGGAGCAGGCAGTGTCGGCAAAGAAGGGAAACACACAGGATTAGAAGGGGGACAAAGGAAACACGTAGGACATCTTTCCAACTTGGAGCAAAGTGCTGTGATTTGACCCATTGACTGGAAACTTCCCATCACATCCACCACAGAAACATGTGACTCACCAGTGTATCTGAATGAATCTGATTGCAGGAATGACTCAAGCTCCCTGCCATCTCATGACTAAAGCTCTGCGTATGCTGCGTGTCACTGTTGGTGCAGAGTGAGGACTTCTTCAAAAGTGCAGTTTATTTTTAGGGAGTTTCACAGCTGTAGCCACTGGATAATGAACAAGCTGCACAGAGTTGTCTGACACTATCCTGAAGTAAACTCTGCATCCTCCTGTCACAGCTGAACATGCAGGCGAATAAGAGGTGTGAGGTCTGGAGGCTGTTCATGGCATTCAAAGAATAAAAAGGAACTGATTTCTATTACAGACACATTTTCAGGTGGAAACTGTTGCTTTGTTGTGCATAAAAGCAGATTACATGCAGATTTAGCACTGGAATAAAGAGTATTTTTTGTGCATTTATTCATATATAGTATATATATATATATATATATATATATAATGAGCTGGATTGAAAGGTCTAAGTGTTACTCTTTTATCAAGTCAATCTTGTGAAAGTCTATTATCAGATCAAAAATAAACATTTGCAAGCCCGAATCAGATGTGCTTCTCATATACAGATACATTCTCGGAAAAGCCATCAGATGTGTTTGAGCTGCTGAATGATTCATAGCAACACTCGTTATCTACAGGATTTTATTACCACAGTGTATGGGTTTACATTGATCATGTGGGAATGAGAGATAGCAGCAGTTCAAATGCCAAAGCCTCAGCTGGGTCCAACCATGTGCTTTATGTGCTCAGTTCAGCTGAAATGATGAAATCCAGGGAATACCTTGCGAATACTCTCATCATTCAGCTTTCACTCTGTTAAAAATGTTGACTTTCTAACACATTCAGTGAGAATGGGCATCCTGTGGACTCTGTTGTGAGTGTGTTACCATTACAGAGCACATTCAGGCATTTAAGTGCTGATTGCCTGCAGACTGTCAATCTGACTCCTATGCAAATGAGGGGCGCTGTGATAGGGGTCATTAAATCTTGGTGATTATTTAGAGAACTAATGGTCGAACATAATGAGCCGATGAAATGTCTCTCTGAACGTGCAGCCTGAAGGAAGGTGCATATGGACTGAGGGCAACAGGGAAGCTGAAGGAGAACTGAGCATGACAGCGCATAACAAAGCCTCACTAACAAAAGCTCTTAAAAAGAGGTTCTGGCTTCTTCAAGCATCTTTCCTTTCACCTCTGATGTAAAGCCTTTGTACCAATCCTTCTTCTAGACCCAACCGTTATCACAAGAAAACACAGAAACATCCCGGAGGACAGAACCCCCACATTTCTCTTCAAATTAGACAATGCATGGTGTAAAAACTCCCTCTATGTTTAGCATAAACACAGCCAAGACTGTGATCTATAATTAGATGCATCTCCTCCACTGATTATCAGTAGATCTGTGTATCACTGAACATAAAATTAGAGTCTTGATTCAAAAATTTTATATGATCTGCATCAGTCCGATTGAGTTTTAATTCCTTGTAATGTTGGGAATTAAGTTTATTTGATTTCTTGTGGAGAGTTAGATATATACCACTCTCATGTTTGCAGCCCAAATCATTGGAGGCTAAACTGTGGTCATGTGTATTGGTAAAAGCACAGTCAAGCTGCCCTAAAAGAGGTGCTTGTCACTATTTGACCCACAAATTTGTTGGGTCGCATTTAATATGCCCAACAGCCCTGTGACTCATCCAAGACATAAATCCTGCTATATGTTGTATATGCCTCAGGGAAGATTTTCTTTTTAATGTCTTTTCTCAGTTTGACATCCTACGGTCCCACAGTGTGACTCCACTGTGTTTTACAGCCTCCCTGATGCGCTGGCAACAGGCCTGTTTATCCTTCATTAATCTCTCTCCCCTGCTTTTACCCCGCACTTAATGATGACGTTTATCCTATTAATGTGTTGTTTGCAGAAAAAATCCCCCCAAAACATAATCCAGACTAAAGGTTGTTAATGTGTATGTGTGTGTGTGTGTGTCTCCTTTGTGTGTGCAGAGACTGAAGATGATACTGAACTGAGTGGTTGCCATGGGTAGTGATTAACTGATGGAGAAATAACACCATTACAAGGATGATGGTTTAGGACTTTGAATGTGAGAGAGTAAAGCAGAGAGAGAGAGAGAGAGAGAGAGAGAGAGAGGTTTATATTTTCCTCAGGTAGTAAATTCATTCAGTATCATGTACTGACCTTTCTGAGCTTTAAAACTGTAAAATGCTGCTCTCTAGTGATCACATGCTACACTGACATTTGATTGTGTTGCAGTATTAAAGGAAGACGCCAAACATTTTTGTTTGAGTAAGTAATGACAGAAGAGTTCAAATCCTTTACTTTAGTTAAACTAACAATATCCATATAAGTTCTGCATTTAAAAGTACAAAAGTAAATCAACTAAATATAATAAAAGTTAAAACGTAAAACTGCATTTTTTGCAGAATAGCTCCATTCAAGTGTTCATAATTAAATTACTGTATTATTGATATAAAAACATTTCATTTTAATTACTTTATACACTTAATCTATAAAGATGCATCATATTTTATAATAATTTAATCTACAAAGTAACTGGTAACTATAGATTTCCCTATGAAATGTAATGTAAAGGTTTCTTAAAAAGAAAATACAAAACTTACAACTGTAATTGAGTGAATTAAGTTTCCAGCACTGATTTGTACCATTCCTCTATTACTTCTTCAGGGAGGTTAGTATTTGAAATCCTTGAACTTGAGAACAAAATAAAACCGCTTTAAAGAGTGCAGCTGTATTAATATGAATATGACTTAAAATGATCTACTTATGTAAAATAAAACTATGGAACTTTTAATTTTTAACTACTCTTAACACATTGCTGATTCTTTTAAAACATTTCTTATATTGTTCCATTGCAGTTTTTACTTTGGGTAAATGATGTGATTATTTCTTCCATCACTGCATTCAACAAAGACAAGTCATGTTACCTGACACCGGCCTTGTTGCTGTAGTAACCGGTAGATGGCGGGGTTTCACGGTCCTGGTCTGACCGGATATGACTTGCAGAGATCTCGGAGCTGCAGCTTCCGAACTGTGGGCGTTTTTTTTCCCCTCAATCTTGACTCCGGAGTTTTTTTTTTTTTGTTTTTTTTTTGTTTTTTTTTTTTCCTGGGTGTTGCCTGCCTGTCGTACCGGGGTGTCGCTGTGAAGACTGCGAGTCAAACCGGATCATTTCTGCATCGATATCATTTTAAACTTTTTGGAGCGCGGCCGAGGTCCTGTCATTTTGTGTACGCGGTACTTTTCAGGCCACACAGGACCGGGTTACTTTAGCCGCTGTTAGCTTGCTAGGCTAACCGAGACCGAGCTGCTGTAACGTTGGCTGGGTCACCAGCGAGAGAGCCGTCCGATGCAGGCCATTAAGTGTGTGGTAGTAGGGGACGGGTAAGTTAAAGTGTCTTTTTATTCGTACTTTGACCTCTAAAATGTCCGGGTTTTACTCGTATGATAGCGACTTAAGCGTGAAACACGGCTGTTTTCGTTGACCCAGTTATCAACAGTTGGCCAACGACTAACAAGCCTCGGATAACATGCCAACATGAACGACAGCTGTTGTTGTGCCCGCTCTCTAGTCCAGCTGGGTCAGACAGATTTATCTACATGCTCCGGTTAGGTGTGACTAGATGGGCCACAGTATGTCATTTATTAGACCTGACGCAGGCTGCCATGTCGTCAGCTACTTTAACTTACAGCTAGTCCTGAATAAAAGTTGTGGATTCTCACTGAATGAATTTACAGATTTGTGGTGAACAATTTGTGTCTTTTTTTTGGGAAAGCTGTGTTTCAAAACAGCTGATTTATTTTATAGTAAAATAGTTTGACAAGATTTAGTGCAAAATGTAAAAAAAAATTTTATAGCAGGGCTTTATCTTAAACAAAATTGAATATAAAAATGTCTAACTGAAATAGTTTTAATTGAGATAAAGAGCTTAAGTCATCTTGATTGACCTCAAACCCCAATTTAAACTTCTTAACACAAACTGATTTTAGATTTCTGGTAGGACAAAGTTTCCATCATTTTAAGGTAGTATCTCTCATTAATGGATGACATTTGACTATATATGTATGTGAAAAATATTGGTGCTCTTTTGGACTAATAAATCAGGTTTAGTAAAGATTGTGATCTGTTATCACACATTTATATAGTTAAACTATTACTGTTTTTATTGTTTGACTTGTGCATCATCACATGGAGGAAACTTTTTCAGGACAAAACCAAGTACATCGCAGCTCAGATTATTGACTGTCATTTAAGGAGGTTGTTTTCTTAAACCAAAGCTTTTAACTATGCAAGTCATGATCGAAATAAACCTTCAAATATAAAGGATGTAGGACACAACAGGGTCACCAGGGCAATATTAACACTAATGTTTTGCAACTTCTAATGTTTTGCCAGAGGTAAATAATCAAATAAAATACTGTGAAATACTAGTAGAATTGTAAAGGATAAACCCACAATAAAGTTAAAAGCTTCTTTGTGAAATAAAAAAGAAGATGGTTTGATCTTTCAGGTTAAACCTGTCTCACGTGACTTGTTAACCTGTCAGACGAGTAGTGGTTAGAGGTTCCAGTATCGCGACACGAGATTATGGACGTTTGTATTGAGGCTTTGGTCTCGATTTCTGAATTGTTAAACTCATACAAGCAAGAAACCTACAGTACATGCTATAGATATGACTTAAATTGCTGTTTAATGTCACTGCAGACTATACGATATACTCTTAATATTAAAACTGAGAGAATAAGTATAAAATCAGTATTTATCAGTTTATTTACCTACTCTCCCTCTCTCCCCTCTTTTCTCCTCCCAGGGCTGTGGGTAAAACATGCCTGCTCATCAGCTACACTACCAATGCCTTCCCTGGAGAGTACATCCCCACAGTGTAAGTAACACACAAAGGCAGCTCTCATGAACAGCTGTGGTGTAGAGGTGGATATGTGGCGAGGTTTAGGTGAGGGACGTAACCCACCAGACGTACGGGAAGCTAACATTCACAATGATATCAATCATTGAGTAGTTTGTCAGCAACTTTATCTCCTCCCTGAATTATGCATTACAATGTTGTACATTATAACACTACCTAATTGAAAATCTAATATCCACCTTTTGTCCCACAGCTTCGACAACTACTCTGCCAATGTGATGGTTGATGGGAAACCAGTGAACCTGGGGCTGTGGGATACAGCAGGACAGGAGGACTACGACAGGCTCAGGCCACTGTCCTACCCACAGACAGTATGTGTATATATATATATTTTATTTTCACTCACACACACACCAGTAGTAACAACTGGCTGTCTCTGTCCACTGTCCTGCACAGACTAGTATCAGCCAAACAATGTTGGCATGAATGCTGTTTTTCACTTTGCCAGCATTGATTTGCAGTTATTCACTGGCCAGTAATACTTAAGACGGAGTCTGTGCACTCAGCAGAGTAGAGCCTTGTATCCACAGTACCTATACACTGTCTGGAGAACGGCTGGAGGAAGTGAAAGGGAGCTCTTGTTTGCCCTCTTTGTCCTTTGACCAACAAACAGGGTCTCTGTGCCAAAGACTTGCAGGGAGCTGAAAGTGGGAGTCAGTTTGTATTTAACCAACAGGACCAGTTCAGAATTAGATTTATGTATCTTTTATTTAATTAGATAATTATTAGATTAGGTTTTGAGTTGTAACAGAAACATGGAAGTTTTTAATCTGATATTGAACGTTTGTCTCTTGTAATGTTGCTGTCTTCAAAGTTGGCTAATGGTGTCCTTCACTCTCCTCAGGACGTGTTCCTGATTTGCTTTTCACTAGTCAGTCCAGCTTCCTTTGAGAACGTCCGTGCCAAGGTAAGAACAGCCTGCTCTTTAAAGCCGTTACCTTTGCCAGTGATTGTAATGTTAGGCTTTTGTCTGCAAGCGACAAATCTCAAAAACTCTTTCACTGTTTTCCACAAAGTTTCATGGTCAGATCAGTTTGGGTGGAGGAGGAATTGACTCAATTTTGTCAATGATCCAGATGTGGAATTTTGGCCACATTTCAGTTAGTTTCCATTTCTCAGGCTCAGCTCTAAAAGTAAATGATAGAAACTGGACTTTAAAATAGATTCTTGCTGGGATTCAAAATGAACTCGGTAGAAAAATTTATATTTTTCTCCCCAAAGTTGATTTTTAGGTCCGTTCATAGTGATGCAACCATGAAAAACAAAAACATATTTCTCTGCAAAAACTACATCAGCTCTTTGGCCCTTGTTGTGCTAATGTTTTTTTAATTGGAAAAATATGTTGTTTTTCCCCCCAGTTTTTAAAGCTACTTAACATAATAGTTAAATTGAAGGGGATAATTAGGATTCAGCTGGTAAAGTAATAAATGTCAAGTATCACAACAGCAGGACTGAGAGTTGTTATGTGCTGGTAGAAGTTTGTGTCCTTTTTTTGCCCCGGAGTTCCTCAGAGGTCACATCATGTTGAATTTGGATAACAACCAAAAAACTGAGAGAGAAATCTATCCTTTTAGCAACCCACCCACATTCCACACAGTGTGTCGTATTGTCCGTCTTTATCCTGTATCCCGCCTCTGACTCTGTCCTCCTGCAGTGGTACCCTGAGGTGAGGCACCACTGCCCCAACACACCCATCATCCTGGTGGGCACCAAGCTGGACCTGAGAGACGACAAGGACACTATCGAAAAGCTCAAGGAAAAGAAACTCTCCCCCATCATCTACCCCCAGGGCTTGGCTATGGCTAAAGAAATAAGTCAGTTGAGGCTCAACACATTCACCAATCCTTCAAATTATTAGATTATCATAATAGTCTGGTAAAGTTTCCAACTGAAAGAGCCTTTTCTTGTGGGAGTTTTATTTGTGGCATTTCTCTAAAGCCATAAAAAAAAAAAATAGTTCTGCTAAAAAAAGAACAAGCCACCGTTTCATGGTCACATTTTTCTAATCACAACATCATGCGAATTTAATAAGTTGTTTACACCGTAGTGGTGCCACCTAATTTTTCAAAATTATGTGCCTTATTGGTTTACCACCGTTTTATTTTTAATAAACGACAAAATTAGATGGTGACGTTTGCACTTTACTTAAATTCTGCAAGACTTACTTGGCAGAATTGATTAATGGGACCATGAATCAAATCATTTATTTACATTAAATTGTATTATGTTACATTTGGGTGGGTTTCTTAGAACCTGAAAGATGTTGGACATTATGTTGGTAAAACTCACTTCTTTTTCATCATTTGACTGTAATTTATAAACATTGTATTGAAATGGTTTTGGAACAATTCTTACTCTCTTTGGTTGAGAGTTTCTCTCACTAAAGTTACAGAATATTTTTGGACTTTATGATCATGCAAACATAAAATAATCTTGTGACTTGTTAATAATCTTGTTACTCACTTTATCTTTCTGCTTTTTCTGTTTCTCTCTCCTCTGGCCACCAGGTGCAGTGAAGTATCTGGAGTGCTCGGCTCTGACGCAGCGCGGCCTTAAGACAGTGTTTGACGAAGCCATCAGGGCGGTCCTCTGCCCCCCACCCATCAAGAAGAGGAAGAGGAAGTGCAGAATATTGTAATGGAAAACCACAGGGAGTAGAAAATACAGTTGCAGTCAGAACTCGCCTACTCAGAGGGAAGAGGATGATGTCGGGGTTTCCCAAATATCTGTTCACCCCCTGTGTCTTTGCTTACATAGAAGCTCTGGTAGATCAGACGTCCATCTGAAAGAACTTTACAGATTTAAGCAGCGCTGGCAGGTTTCAGTCAAGTCTGGCTTGTGGGTTCTTACATCTGTTGAGTCCTTTCAGATTGACTGGAATGAAGTGACTTTGCTTAAGGCCTTGGGGAATGTGAGGGTGGGGGGGTGATTTGGGATCTGGGGTTAATTAAGGAGAAAGAGAGGGAGGATTTTGCAAAAAAAAACTAAAAAAAACATTCATGTAATTTTTCTCAGACATTGTGAAGAAACACTACTTGAACATGAATTTATCGTGAAATCACCATAGATTTAACTCTATAAAAGAAGGAGGTCCTGCACTGCGCTCTTTCCCCTACACACTAAGAGATTCCTGCTGCCTTGATGAAATTTTACTTTGAGATAAATTGTTTTTTAGAGGCTCTAATTTCTCCTTTTTTTTTCATTGTCAGTCTCTTGTCAGCTGTTTGATGGACCGTTCTGTTTACATGTCATCTGACGAGACTGAGGTGCTGCCAAAACTCAGTCAACGGTCATCACTTTGTAGTCACTCTGTGAACACTAAAATGTTGTTTTTTTTCTTCCTTTTACTTTTGTTTTAACCTTCTATCAATGCAGTTATGAAGAAATTCTTTAACCCTTAAATGACTTTGAGTTATAACATGTTGTAGCAGCTGCTAAGTTAAATAGTAATTACACATTACACAGTCTGATAGATATTTAACAGGTAATTCTTTCATTTTGTTCCTTGAGCTTTCTAGATAAATCATTGTTCTCACTACGTGGTAAATGAATACACACAGTGTTTTATGACTGACTGTCGGGCATGTGAAGGTACAGTGCAGCCACAGTTGCTGTGCTGGCTCGTTATCTATTTAACTTTAAAAGTTAAACCCATCATTTCAAGTTTTCATGAAGTTCTTGCTCAGAAAGTGCTTTCAACATTCAGGCTTTTTACTCAGTACATGATGCTCATTGCCGTCATAATGGTGTGTAACCATGTCATTTTGACCCCATCTATTGCTGTGTTTTATGAAGTCTATGAGCCAGTGTATCAGCACTCGATGGTTGTGACTCATTTTACTGTCTTTCTTGTACAATATGACCTTGAGCGGTAACGATTCAGCGGTTGCATTTTATTTTGAAATGAGCAATGATCAAATTGCATGGGTGCTCTGGGGAATCACTGTAAATCTGGATTCATTTCATCTGTGTTTCAGTGGCACAGATGAAGTGCATACTTGGATTTACTTTCTTGCTAAATGTGGTTTCATTTTCACAATATGTAATAGTACATAGTTATATGCTGATTTTTTTTTTTTAAGCAAATAAATTTTTTTGAAAATGCTCAATGTATTCTATATCTTCTGACCACACACTACAGTTTGTATCGACTGCATGACTTCATTTACTTTAGCGTATAGTGACAAATGTCTTATCACTTTCCCACATCACAATGAGTAGTCCTCAAATTTCATTTTTTTTTTGTTGTTTTTGTCTGACCAGTCTAAAACCAGAATTTACTGATTTTACATGTTACAAAGAAAAAGCAGCTGGAGCCAGAAAATACTTGGCATTTTCACTGGCTGTCTGATTAATCGACTTATTATTATCTCAGCATTAAATACACAGCGTCAGGTTATATAGCAGTGACTTTTTCATTGCCTTCATCTTGATCAGCTTGTGCACCGTAACGGTCAAACAGAGAGGAATACATGGACATTTCATGGTTGGCTGTTTTTGGCTTTCCACTGGTCAAATACCAGCTCAGCAGACACTGCATCCTCAACTCCCATCCCTGTTGTAAAAACAACAACAAATACAGTTACACTGAATACCATGAAAGTATAGTTGTAAACTGGATTCTTCTTGTACCAAGATAAAAAAATAAAGTACTTTCCACATGATATGGATTTGTAGGAGGGGCTTACCAAGGGATTTGAACACGGTTGTCTTCTCTCTGTGAGCAGGTTTTGTCCCATTAATAACATCTCCAAGCTCTGCAAACACCTCCGCCTGAACACATGAGATCCACAGTCACATTTTTCCACACATGCTCTGCAAAGGGAGCCAGTAACACACGCCTCAGTTATCTTATCAAGTCAGTTCAAAAGCACAAAGACACTGACCCCAGAGAGAATGACGTCACCAGACTCGGTTGTTGCTCCCTCTCTGCTGTCAGTGTACACCACGGCTTCCTTCATCAACACGTCATCCAGCTCCCGCCAGTTTGGCCTGCAGGCTCCCACCGCTGCTCAGCAACAGGAGAGAAACAATCCGATTATTTACAGAGCTCCAAAGTCCACTCAAGAACTGACATTTAAGTTTTAAACATTTGATGTTCCCTGAATTCTGCCCATTTTACATGGTACTCATCTAAAACTCTCCACACTTCCTCTCACCTGCCACATGGGCTCCTGGTTTGACCCACTGACCGAAAAGCACCGGCTCAGTGCATCTGGTTACTGTCACTATGACGTCTGCTCCCTTCACCGCCTCCTCCACCGAGACACAAGGCGTCACAGGACCTGTGACTGAGTGCATGAACTTCTCAGCTCTCTCTTTTGTGCGGCTCCACACACGCACCTGGGGTGATCGAGGGGAATTACAAATGTCATATCAACCAATTACAAAACAAGTTCCAACAGTAATCAATCAGGATGTCCAGATACTTGCACACATACTGGAGAGCATGTAAAATCAGATTTCAATCCTCAGACTTGTTTTAAATCTCACTCTTTGTTCAAATCTTTACTTGGAGATTGCTGCTCAAATGTTGTGGTCAGTAAACTACAAAGGCATTTGTTGAATGTTCGGCCGGCTAAAGCAACGGCAGTGTCGGTCTCTCGGCAAAAAAAGAAAATTTGCATGTTTCCTAAAATGTTAAACTATTGTCTACCTGTAAGATGATTTAAGCAAAAGTTGGATTTAATAAACAAGTAAGATTTTACAAAGTTGTCAGTCCCATGCCAATAAAGTAGGGCTGCACCATACAGACATTTCATACGTCGATATTTATGTGAAATATAGGTTAAAAAAATTAAGGGGTTGCCCTATATTTTCCTTTACTCCTAAACACTGTTTAAAGGGAGATCCTTTAGGTTCTGTAGGTTATTTTGTGTTGGGAAACACTGAGCTACAGACATAAGGATATTATTCCACTTGTACTCACCAAAAATCCTTTACACTGCCCTGAACTGATTTTCTATTCATACGTTCACAAGACATGTTTGTAACAGTACCTCTTTAAATGAGAACATTTCAGTGAAGACGTTGTAATGACTCAGAGCCTGTTTGCCAGTCCCCAAGATGGCCAGCACTTCAGCCTCTGGACGCATCAACAGCTGCAGGACCAGAACACACCAGGACAGATCCAAGAGTGTCAAAGTCAGAACAACAGCGCGACATTAGAGGACAGGTACTGTGAACAGGTGCTTTGAAAATGGAAAGCTTATCGTACCTTTGCAGAGATTGCAGATACTGCAGCTGTCCTCATGCCTGTGATGACCTCTCCATCCATGACCTGCAGGTTGGAGACATGCCTGACTGGTCTGAGGGTGAAGCTGCTCAAACTGTGAGACCTGAATGTTTAGATTGTTTTTTTGTTTTTTTTTCTGTCTCATGTGTGCATCAGTTTTACTCACAGCCTTAACACTCCCATACTCTGGATCCAGCAGCACCACTGTGGCCTGAGTGGATGGTAAAGTGGAACCATCCTCCCTCTTATAGAAACAAACCAACTTTGTGCACAGGACTCCGTCATGCTCTATGTAAGTGGGCATCAGTCCCAGGAACCTGTAAAAGTGATTGAGTGTCAGCAATAGCCACAGACTGTAAATGTTTCACAGTATAGTACATGCTAACCCGTTTTGTTTCTGCAGGGGCACTGTGGTGCGAACAGGCTGGACAACCTCTCCTCTGGAAAACTTCCCCAGAGCCTGTTCCAGACGGGGGGTCAGCTCCCTGTACTGCAGCAGGCTCTCAACTTCGCGTTCCGATATGGTAACAGGGGGGTCAGCCATGACTTTTGCTTTTCATCCACAAGTTCTAGCTTTAAAACGCACCGCGTTTGCTTCGTTTCGGCCTGGGGTCGAAATCCGGGGTTGGGCTTTAGTCTTGACGGGCGGAAAATTTACGGCATAAACGGAGACTTCAGGAAACGTTGACGCAGGCGTAGACGCACCTTCTCTCCCTATCGTACCGAAACGTTTCCTTCCCCGATTTGTCGAGCGTTTCCCAAAGAGACAGGTCGGTATACTTTCCGTAGCGCGAGGGAGCCCAGCGCACCTGTGTCACAGCAGCAGGTTGTTCACACAAACACTGACAAGCTTTTCAGTGTTTTTATTTATTTGAGAAATATGAGTGTTATCCTTAATATGTCAGACATATACAGTCTGTTACAAACATTTTCAGGCCTGACACAAGCTCACATCAGTCTTTTGACACATAATTAAGTTTAATCTAATTAATGTTTTATGAAAACATCGCGGGCGAGTGAGGGGTAAAAGTCACACACGGAATACCTGCTTGATCAGCAACTTTAGAGAGATACAGTTTTTTTTATTCCTTTCTGTTTTATGGAGAACCACAGACTTGAAAATAAAAAAACAAAGGACCACATTGCCAAGAGGGTGGAAAAGAGAGATAACCATAAAAAATAAGGATCTTAAATTCTTAGAATAAAAACGTAGAATAAATAGATCCCTTACTTAAGTAATAATACTTACCTCCACTCTCACTGTTTTAATAGGCCAGTGGTTGAAAGTAAATTTACACCAGTACAGAGCTTGAGTATTTTCATTTTATGCCACATTAAACTTTAACTTTAATACATTTCTAAAAGAATTACTATAATGTTTTACTCCACAGAATTTATTTAACAGCTGTAATAGCTACATAACATATTTTACATAGAAAGGAAGATGAGCTCACGAAATTCAACACTGTTAAAAGGTTAAACCAATGGCTCCCAATATTTCTCATTTAAAAAGGTGTTTGAGGTCCTATAAGGGAAAGGGCACAATGTTCCACAAAAAGCAAACAGTAAGAAAATAGTCCAGAAAATCTTATTTAACTTTTTCTCTATTCAACATCATTAATAATCTCAGATTAAGTATTATATATTATATTGGTACTTTTACAAAGCAATCCGAGTAATTCTTCACATTGATTGAGACCTATCACTTTATTAATGCTGACGCAGCATTGTACTTTCACATGAATATTGCCTTAAGTCTAATTTTTTCAGATACCTGGCAGTCTCCTTTTGTTTTCATGTTACAAAAGTACAATTATGTATATATTGGCTTATAAAGAAACAAGTCAAACAGTGTGATGCTGTGTGCTAAAAGCAAATAATTTGAGTTCATCTCTTACAGTTCATGTAGAGATTTTGCTATCACATTGTAAGTGGCCTGAAGCACATGGCCACAACCCAACAATTACTTGCCGTTTTATTTGGTTGCAATGACACAAATGTATCAATTCTTCTATCAATTACAAATGACTTTGGACACCTGATACTGTTAAAGTTTTACTATTTAATATGAATGAAATGAATATAACATGAAAGATTACACAAACAAAAAAACAGGTTTACATACAAAATGATTTTATTATGAATCCAGTGATGCCATAGCAAACCGATACACTGAAGTGGACACAATGTCCTAAAAAATAAAAAAAACATCTATATTTCCTTTCCATGCATAATATCTGTTTTTTAACCAAACAGAAAATAGGATTACTTTCAAACTGGAATTCATCTTCCCCTTCCTTCAGGAGACTTGATCACAACAGTGCAACAAAGCTCACACGAGCAGTCTCTCAATAGCCAGTTGAACAGACTGAATCTGTGGCTTGAGCTGAGACCCCTCCTTAATGGTGACCGAGGTAGCAATGACGGGGCGCGACACCCCACAGGCCCGGCCCAGGGCCTGCTTGGAGCGGACAAACACGTAAGGGACGTTCTTGTCCTCGCAGAGCAGTGGCAGGTGGAGGATGATCTCCAGTGGTTCAGCATCAGCAGCCATCACAATGAACTCAGCGATGCCTCTGTTCAAGGTTTTAGTGGCTGGAGAAGCAGAGTAACAGAAATATAAAAGAAATGAGAAGTGATTCTGAAATAAAAAAACCACAGATTCTATGTGATTCTCTTTCTGAACACAGATACACACACCTCTGACAATCAGTAAAAATCATTGAGAATATTAAAGGTTTTACTGACGTAGTAGGTTGATGTACTGCACTGTATTAAATAGAACTGAAAATCATCATATTGGAGCCAGTTTAACATTTCTATTCTTAATGTGGTCGAAAATAGAGACCGTTTCTACATTTATCCAGAAATTCATGATTCGTCAAACAGCTGCTGATCACAGCTTGAGCTGCGATGCTTTTCTGCTTTGGCCTGTGTCACAGCATAGTGAACACAATATCACTAGGCCTTTGGCTAGATAAAACAAGCAATAAGACAAAAAAAATTCATAAACATTACAAAAATGCAACCTTTGATCACAATCAACTGATGTATTAAAAAGTATTTAGACCAGTGGTGTAGGGCTACAACTACCTGGCATTATGGATTATTCTGCCAGATATTTTTCCTATAAAACATCACAAAGTAGTGCAAAATGCCCATCACAACTTCCCATAGCCCAAAGTCATGTCTTATTTGTTCTATCCAACCAACAAGTCAAAAAACAAATGGCTACACAGCATAGCAGATATTTGGCATTTTTTGTCTGAAAAATGAGAAATAATCAATTATCAAGTTGGCATATAGTTGGCAATTATTTGCCTTGTCCTTGCAGCTCTGTGATAATATAATTTATTTGTGTGTGAAATTACTTTTCCTGGTCTGGGTCTTTTAAATCCTTCCAAGAAACCCAGCTCTATTTACCTGAGGGGACACCACGTTTTTACAGGCTTTTGTGACAGTGGCGGATTATCGTATCAAATTCCGAGCTTGTTGGTTAACCACCTGAATACTTGTACTCTAGTCAGATGTTGCTATGTTTCCTCACCTTCATTAGCTCCCTTCCCAGCTGCTTGTAGTTAGAGGCTTGCTGCACCAGGTCAGGATAGTTTTGGTCAGCGTGGCGTCGGCCAGCGGGTAGGCCTTTTGGGTTCACTTGAGCTTCAGTCTGAACATGATACATAAAACAAAAATAACACTACATTAACCTCAAGAAAGCATTTTTTAATGAACAATACGGCGCTGTTACTTTGAGTTTCAGGTTAGTTCGCTTTGTGCAGTCTAGTTTCTTCAGTTTGCTAATAGTTAGCTAGCCTGTTAGCTTGTTCGTTCATTAAGAACTCAACACTCACCATTCTGAGTTGTTTATCTGGTATTCTGACCCTCCGGCGAAATGCTTCACGGAGGAGTATTTCCTTCACCTGGGTTTGAAAGGGCACCAGACACGAGGTATTGTTTTATAAGTAATATTCAGTAGCTATACGAACTCTCCGAACTGAATTACATGCAGAGAGTTGCAAGTCCAAACGTTTACCACACGTGTGCGGGGACGCACATGCGCACTAGTGATACAATCTGAAAACGACAGGAAATACTTTTTTTCTGATGTGATAAAAAACAGATTTACTATCAGAAAGTTTAAATTGAGTTATTTAAATGGTAATGCAGTAAGTCTATGAGTAAATATTGATTGTTTTGATTAACTTATAACATAAAAAATATAAAAACGGAATACCAGCACTTCCGGTTCCCTAGTCCCGAGGTCTATGGATTTTTGAATGGGCTGTGGTTAACACAAACTGAAGATATCACATTTACATTTTTTCAAAACGTCCATCCTTTATTTAACTTTGCATGTGTTTTTGTAATATACAAACAATTAGACATACTTGTTCATTAAACAAAACAAAAAGTAAAAATTTCCATCAAAACACAGTAAAGAAAAAATGATACATACACATACATATACAAAAATATACATAAATCTGATAACAAACACAGAATTACAGTAAATGAGAGCTTTATTGGAAATTCGGCTGTATTAAAATACTGTTATTTGAGCACGAGAGAGTGGGAGAGAAGCAAGCAGATAAGGGGCTGAAATCGGTTTAGACTAGACTTGTTAATCATTGTACAAAAGATTTTACGACCATTATTCAATTCTTTGTTACATTTACATTGATATACTGTGTGTATATATATTTGGTGTGTTATTAATACTTTTTAAATCTCCGTGTCAGCAGAGGGCGCGCTCTCATTGACTCCGCGTTACTTTGCGAGAAAAGGAACACGCAGTGCATTCTGGGTAGGGCACTTTGAAGCGGCCATATTTGCTTCATCGTCCTGACTGAAGAGAGAGGGGAGATGAAGGGGATTCGGGGAATAAGTCGGTTGTCGGTAAGGACTCAGAAATCCTATCCTGTGTGTTTATGTGTCGGGACGGTTGTGGACGCAGCAAAAAGTCCTTTTCAGTCTGTGGGATTGTGGGACGGTTGTAAATATTCAGGGTCGTGTCTGGACAAGCTGCGACGAAAGAGCAGAGGAGGAAGCGGCCAGCTGAAGTCTGACATAACTCTGTGTTTAACTGGCAATAAACCGACTTATAACGGTATAATTGATGGTCCAGACGTAATATTTGTGAACTAACATTAAAACCAATTCACTAAAACCTAGGGGCTGCTGAACAAGCCACTCAACAAGTGCAGAGCTTGTTATATCTTGTTTGTGTAGACTTGATTTAGCGTCATCCCTTTCATATCCCTTTACACATTACTATTTAACTTTAATATTGCGTAGCAGTTAATAACTTGCTTTTCATTATACAACTAATCTAACCGTAAAGTTAATAAAGATAATCTCATGGTGGAAGAAAAACGTAATCTCAGCACAACACCCAGAGCATTTTTTTTTAGCATTTTGACACAAAATCTTTGTGGTATATTTATTTATTTGATGTTCATCGTGTATAACAATTTTATTGGTTCTTAAATATTAGTATAGATCTGAAAAGAAGATTTAACTTAATTTGCATTTGCTGAAAAAGGCCCTAGACAAGAGGTGATATCATAACTTTTAAAAACCACAAGGTCCAAGTGGTACCTGTTCAGGAGCTTTTGGGTTTGTCATATGATCTTCATCATCAGATGGAGTTTGCCTAGTTGTTGTGGAAATACACTGTAGATGAATCAAATTTCCATTTCTAAGTACTTAAAGGACGTCTCATCATGGGAAAACTCCCATTTGCTGATGAAGACCACCGATATTGATATAACTGAAAGCTCCAGGACAGAGGAAAAACCTTGTGATGAGATTGGACTGGTTCAGGGACCAGTTACTAGATCATGAGTTTTATATATAGTCTACTATAAAAATTGTAACAAAAATGAAGAGTTGGCTTTGTTTTGTAAATAACAAAAATATTTCGTCATGTCCAGAGGTCTTGAAGCACCGATCCATCATTTTCATAATCTTTTCATGTGGTCTAAACACTTTTCTTCTCACACTGCGCCTTTCAACACAGTCAGCAAGCAACACATTAGTTTGTAATGTCCCACCTTCCCCATGTTCTCTGTTTTCCCAGAACGAGGCTTTACGCGGCTCAGGCTGCCCGTAAGGGGGAGTTCAGTGGTGCCGGCCGAGCATGTTAAGTTTCAGCCGGCAGGATGTGCAGAGGTCAGTGGTAGTTGACTTGTCTTTCTTCTCCACAGAGAGCGGTTCCTATGCGGCTGCCAGAAAAGGCCAGTCCCTTGCCAGCCCGCTGCTGGCTCTACCAGGATGTACATGTATGTTTGGGAATGATGAGGGTCACTGTGCTGGGTCCTGTGTGGGGTTGGCTTGGTCAATGTGGTTTGTAGAATCTGTGAATGAAACTATTGAGTTTGTTATAGAAAACACATTTTGTTATGCTTTTTATGGAGTAACTATTTGTCTCTTCCCATATTTTGGCTGAATATAAAATGTCAAATCCTTTGAATGTCCAATGATGGTTAGAATATATATTGAGGTTTATTCTGAATTTGTAACTATAGTTTTAGGTTGGCAAATGTTTTACTTTAAATATCTGTCTGAACTGATTGATGGAAATGACGAACCTCTGTTCAGTGGACCAAACTGCCCAGTGGACTGGTGATGCGCCTCACTTGAGAACTATTCCCCAGCCTCCAAGATCGGGGTGTTATCAAGGCTGGTTGTCGTTAATGAAGACCGCCTGACAACAGGGGTCCACCCACCTCCTCCGAACTGGCCTCCAACCTGGTAATTGATCCTTCAATATGGCCTGTTCATCGTCTTGTGTCCTTCACTACTGTATATCTAGAGCAAATGAATATTGGCTTCTGTCTCAGCCTGGTGCTGATGTGCATTTTGTGTTTTCCCAGACAACGCAAAGGAGCTTCAATCTTTTCAAGATATGCCGTGGTGTTGAAGCTGTGGGAGGCAGCGCTGCGGTCAGTAACCAAGAAAGATGTGTCATAGCAAAAACGCACTGTCACACAAGTCTCTGCATTCTTATCAACATATTGTTTCTCTGCAGTGTGACTATCAATCCAGAGAGAACATTGATTCTAGCACTGTTTGACTGCTTGAGAGATGCCATGTAAGTCTCTGAAATAACACTAATGTTGTATTTATATTTTACAAGCACATTAGTATATAATTAACATTAGACTTGATAAAAATGTCCCATACTCGTAGTACAGGCAGAGGACATTGTTTTGAGTATCGTACTCATCCCTTGTGAGTGGAAGCGCTGTAAAACATCTGTAATTAACATTCTTCACAAAGAACGGTAGCTGGGGTCTCTCTTTGAATTGTACAGGCATATTTTTGGTGAAACAGTGACGGCTTAGCGCACACTGTCCGTACAAATGTTCAGTTCAGTTCAGGAGAAGTGGATGATTCTGCAGAAATGGTTTGAGTGTCTGTGGATGTAGTGCGGATAATGGCACAGTCACTTCAATATCACTAAACATTTTTTTTTTCACTCTTTCTAATTGTTCTGCAGTGAACACAGTGATGGAGTATTTGATCAACGTGACGACATGCCCCAAGAGTTCCGGCCATGGGAGGTGTCAGACCTTACACCCAGAGTGAAGATG